CCCGTTGTCTGACACGAAAAAAGACAAAAAAAAAAAAAAAAAGATTTAGTTGGGAAAAGGCGATAATAAGATTTGGCATCTGCTTTAATGCAGGTTTCTAGGATAAAGAGTCAGAGATAACTGCAAATCTGAGCCATGGTTACTGGTGTGCAAGATGATTTTATAATGTATAGAAGAAAGTGAGGAGGAACAGCTGGTTTGGGGTAGAAAGTTAGTATTAAACATGTTGATTTTAAGGCTAATATTATATCTCTATGATGTCACAAAATGCCCCAAAGCCAGACTGAAGGGTAGAGAAGAGCTAGCGCATGGCTAGATATTAAAGATTCAAGAGTCAGTTGCATGTTTTACTCGTTTTCATACCACAAGCCCTCTTTTTTCCTCACCCACTCTACTGTCCTCCCCACACCACCCCCTCCTCACCCTCCGCCGCCAGTATGGTGACCATAACAAATTTCAGTAGAATTTTGTTGGTTTGTGTAAAGAAGATGAAAGCTATGGAATAGAATGCTCACATGAGAGAATGAATATTTATGAAGAAAGAAATGCAAGGAACATCTAGGAAAAGCGTAAAAGTAAGAGGTCAAAAAAGTTAGTGGATTGAATGGTTTGTATGGAAGCTGAGCAAGGGGAGATACAAGGAGATGAGATAGCTAGGGAGAATCTCAGCTGTGATCTGAAAAGTGTGCTTATATAAAAAAACAAAGAATGGTGGTTTCCAGAGGCTGTCATGGGTAAGGGGAAATGAGGAGTTGCTGTTCAGTGGGTATAAAGTTTTGGTTATGCAAGATCAAAAAGTCCTAGAGAGATCTGCTTTACAACGTATATTTGTAGTTAACAATATGGTATTGTATACTTATTTGTCAAGAGGGTAGATCTCATGTTGTGTGTTTTCTACTATAAGAAAGTGAGAAAGGGAGGAAAAGCTGAGGAAAGATATTACAGTTTGAGGAAAGATATTAGAGTTTTAAAATGAGTCTTTTGGATATAGTGCTATCCTATTTCTTTTGTGTTTGATCTTAGTGACTTTAAAACCATAAGAGATACAAAGTGGGTGGAAAAATTTTTTTCAGAGTAAAATGAGTTTAAAGTAGAATTTATGAGCTGCTTTGATAATTTTTTAGTTGTTTTTCTCCTTTATATACATATACAAAACAGCCATCTGAGACTGTAGTAGAGTCCTCACCAGAAAAGGTGCTCCTTATACAGCAGCAGGGACTAGAGCGATCATTTCAAAATTATTGAAGAAGGATACATGATGGTAAAACTTAAAAATTAGTTTTCTCTTCTGTTTATTGTATAAACACTTCTCTTAGATCAGGCCACACAATCTCTCTCCTGGGCTATTACCATAGCTTTTCAGCTGTTTTTTCTGTCTTAGGCCCAGGGGCCACATCATGCCCAGAATTACATTATTAAAAACACAGATCTGATGCGCATTTCTACTTAAGAATATTTTACTACAAATAAGCATATAATAAAAAGTTCAAACACATTTTTAGATGCTGTTTTTCACTTTTGAAATTAGTGGGTTAGATAGACATGTTCTAAGCTGATGAAAATAAAATTGGCAAAACATTTTTGTTAGCATATTGGCAGTATGCAACAAGAAGTTTAAAGATATTTATAACCTGAACCACAGTAAATTCACTTCTGGGAATCTTACTTAAACTATCTTAAATACCACAAAATATGCCCCAAATCTCTTTGTAAAGATGTTCATCATAGCATTATTTATAATAGTGAAAACTGTACATAACTAATATCAATAATAGGGAAAGGAGCAAGTAAATAATCATTGCTAAAATGATTTCCTCCCACGTCATTTTTTTATGTGCATCTGCTGTGGTATACATTGTATGCTATCGTTAGTTGTACGCATTTCTGCCAGTCCAGCCTTTGTGTCCCCATTATACCTAGCACATTGTAAATGCTCAATGAATGTTTGCAGAATAAATGAACAAATGTTGACACAAATGAAATTGAGTTTCAGTTGCCTCTTATCAAAAACTGAGATGTTATATTTGTTTAAATTCACTAGCTTGCAGTTCCATATATAATGAAGATGTATTTCAGATTTAAACCTCCCCCATTCCAGAAAATATTTTCGTAGGCAAAAATAACAATTTCAAACATTTAAAGGTAAATTCAGTTGATAAATGAATCAAGTTGTGATTTTTACAAATTGGATTAGAAATAAAATCATTGTTTCCAAAGTTCCATTGTACACTTTAATGTAAAACGTTCTATGTGTTTTTCTCCCCATTTTCTCTGAATTCTATATATTTTTCATTTTGAAACTTCTGCTTATCTCCCTGTTGATATTTTTCTCCTTGAACCTATAAATTTCCTTCATAATAAGTTTTTTCAACTGCTTTGTTCTTTTGAAATTATCAGTTGTCCAAGAAATTGGTTTTCACATACTAGTTCAACTTATGTAAAGAGTGTTTGAAATTTTATGTTCTATTACTTACAGAGGCTGGCAAAGGGAAGAAATCTATTATTTTCTTTTAAATTCTTTTTATGGGTAAATCTAGATTATGGTTGATGTAGATAAGTGTCTTAGTCCATTCAGGCTGCTACAGCAAAATACATTAATTTCAAAACAACAGAAATTTATTGTTCACAGTTCTGGAGGCTGGATGTTCAAGAGCAATGCTTGAGCAGATTTGGTGTCTGGTGAGAGCCTGTTTCTCATAGATGGCACCTTCTGTATCCTCACATGGCAGAAGGGGCAAACTCTGTGCCCTCAAATAATAGAAGGGCAAAGCAGCTCCCTATAACCTCTTTTATAAGGGTATCGTCCCATTCATGAGGGTAAAGCTGTCATGACTTAACCACTTTCCAAAAGATCCCACCTTGTAGTACTATCACAGTGGGTATTAGGTTCCAACATATGAATTTGGGGGGGACACCGACAAGAAATACCAATATTAGAAATTCCATTAATTAGAATTAATCCATTTTATGTGCATTTCCTCCAGTCTGACCAGTGGGCTGTGATCTATTTGTCAGTACTTTATAAATATAACCTTAATTCTTTCTGAAACTCACAGTTTAAAGCAATCATTTTATAACATTGATTTCAATAGAATCCTGGAAATTGATGAAAATTGTGTGCTAAGTTCATGAGGGCAGGGAGCACATCTGTTTTCCTCACCCTGTATCCTTTGGCACAATATCTGATTAGGCTCTCAAAAATGTGTTGCTGAATGCCTAATTGCCTACTTTTGCCAGTTTGTTTTGTAACTGTTTTCTAATGAAGTAAGGCATTTAAATAACATGTGTGTGTGTGTGTGTGTGTGTGTGTGTGTGGTAGGGTTTTTGATTGTGAAGAACAAGAGACTCAGGACCAGTTTGTTTTGTAACTGTTTTCTAATGAAGTAAGGCATTTAAATAACATGTGTGTGTGTGTGTGTGTGTGTGTGGTAGGGTTTTTGATTGTGAAGAACAAGAGACTCAGGCTACCTACTAATGGTGCAGGCGGTGGGGTTTGCGTGTGTGTGTGCGTGTGAGAGAGAGCGAGAGAGAAAGAGAAAGAGAGCCAGAGAGAAAGAGAAACCATGACCACGATTAAGCTTTACTTTCTCTAGTGAATCCATAGAAACTCTAGTGGGTTTCTCCTTAGAAGCAGTTTTCTGTTGATACATATCTGGTGCTTCTTTATTGTTACCCCTGTTTCCAAGTAATATTTTGTTTCATTCTCTCTGGCAGATTGATTGCTGTCATATAATTCTAGTACATAGTTCAGAGACAATCTTACTGGTCCAGCTAATTACCTTCAGCTCTATTTGGGCAGAACTTTTACATCAAGGCACCCATGGCTGCAGATCAGCTTTTGTTTTAACTGATTGCAATCTTGATCTAGTCAGCTGTGGCCAAGAGATAGGGTCATGTGAAGTAGATATTGCCATCCTCAGGTAAAGAACCACCTAGAGTTACTTTCTCAGCTTATAAGTTTCCTTGTGAGGTTTTGGTCGCATCTACAGCTTAATTCACTCTTTTCTAATAGACACGGGTTCCGATGTTCCTCAATTTTCCCACTCAGTCTTTATAATCTTATAGACCGTGGCACACGGTCCATATTTTTATGTTACAGTTTTGAACGGCACCTTTTTCAGAACTTTAAAATACTAGTTTAGAGAAGTTAGTGGCCATTTCCCCATCTTATTTCCTGGCTAAGAAAGGATTCAAAGCATGAGGGCCTCCCTCTGACTATCCTTGCCCCTAAACGTACCTATGGAGAAGGAAGCTATTCCCTGATTGGCAATTTTCGTGGCTTATATATAACCACATTTAAATGAGGACACCAAAATATTTTTCAATTTAAAATAATTTAACAAAAAATCAAAAAGCTTAAAAGTCAGCACTTAGAATCATTAGTACTAATTGGCAATCTATAATACTAATAGAATAGCAAGTAGGACAATAAGAATTGCTGTATTCTCCATTTCTTAACTTGTATTTCACCAAGTTTTACATTTTTTCTTAAAATTTCAAAACTTTATATCAGATATGCTTATTGCAGTTTAATTCAGAAGAAAATTCACATGTCAGGTAATTGCTTTGGGGAATTACATGTAATCCTCTTTAAATTTAACCTTTAGTTTTCAAATTGATGTCTAACAGTACAGTAGTATGCTATTAGATACAATTTTATTATGGAAGTTAATGGTTTTTAGTCATGTCAAATATGGGCTGAAAATCTATGATGATATAGAATATGACTGAGGGAAATGATAGTTTGAGGAGCCTGTGGTGTACCCAGCATTATGATAGTTTGACCTTTTGTCTCATCCATACAGTGGCTTTATGGTTTTTTGGGTTTTTTTTTTTTTTATTTTAATCTGGGGTCCAGCACTTATTCTAGCTTCATATAATTTTATTTATTTATTTATTTATTTAATTTATTTATTTTAGTACCTTAGCAATAAATGTGTACCAATTTAACTTTTCTTAGAAAGTCATCTTTATACATAAAACTTTTCTTTTAAAAACAGGATAAAAGAGTCAGAGTATCTCAACCCTTGACAAGAGGACCAAGTGCCTTTATTCCAGAGAAGGAGGTAAGTTTATGTATTAAAATACATAAAGTATGATTTTTAAAAAACTTAATCGTATCAAAGAATATCTCCATTTTTAATATGGAAGTAAAAATGTGTTTTGCTCTTGAGTTTCTTATTCATATGTCAGAAACCTGTAGAGTTTTCTTTTCAGCTTCATTTAGAAGTTTAAGTGTACAATAATCTGTCTCATTTTAAAGTTAGGTAGTACTGCAAGGTTAGAACAATATAAATTTAACCATATTTAATTTCAAATATAACTTTTCTGAACAAAGTGACTAAAAATAATACAATTTAATATAAACAGGAAGGTTTTAAGTTTTTTAAAAGGCCACTGTTTTACAGTGATTATAGGTTACATAAATGTTAAGAAAAGTGTTTTTTTTAAGTTTTTTAAAAGGCCACTGTTTTACAGTGATTATAGGTTACATAAATGTTAAGAAAAGTTATTCTGAAATGAAAAAGTGAGTATCCCAACTAAACCTATTAAATAAAATGTAATATTATATCACTAGTAGTTACTCTTTTCTCTTTATTCTAAGCCTTTGATTGGACAGGATGTCACAGAATCTCCAATACAATTCTGTACCTTTGGTGAGGGTGGGGAGTCAAGATGGTAAATGCAAGAAAGAAAGGTTACAAAATGACACAACAAAGACTATAATCAATACAAGGTTTGTGTCTATTCTGTGGGTATACATCTCTTTGAAAGATCACAGTGATGTGTAGGACTTAGATTCCTAGATGCTTCTCAGATATAATGGGCCAAGAAAAGTTTAAGAAACACTAATTAAGGAGTTTTTCTCTGCTTCAAGGAGTTATTAACTCATACTGAATATAGTTATCCTGAATACTGATTCACTGTTTACTACAAAGATATCATTTATCTTAAAGCACCAGGATTATTCCTATATTGTTCTGAAATTAGTCCACAGATATTTATAGAGCACCTACTATGTGCCAGGCATTGTCTTAAGGGACTAGTAGAATTAGAATAATACCAGATCATTTTCAGAGTCAGCAGTTCTTTCATCTTCAAATCACTTTTTTAGTGACTTTACCATTGAAATGAAAATCCTAAGTGACAGTAACAAAGCTCAGTAACAACAGCTGATCTGGGTGGTGACCATGTGCTAGAGAAGCTGCCCGGCTTATGCCTGTTTCCCTCAGATAGCTTAGGGGCTGCTCTTAGTGGAGTGATTGACGAGTACATACAAAGACTTCCTGAAACACAGTCATTTTCACGGTATGTATTAGAAAATAATCTGGTTTTCAGGTTCTGTTGCATCATGTGCCTGTTTCCCTCAGATAGCTTAGGGGCTGCTCTTAGTGGAGTGATTGACGAGTACATACAAAGACTTCCTGAAACAGTCATTTTCACGGTATGTATTAGAAAATAATCTGGTTTTCAGGTTCTGTTGCATCATGTGAATCTGTTAATGTATCTCAGGCATCCAGTTGGACACAAGAAACTTATGCTCGGAGAAAGCAAAACAAAAACAACAGTATTCTATCCCTAATTATGTGTGGTTTATATGGATCCTATTGTATTTTTAACTGTCATCTTGGTCCTGGTAGTTGACAAAATGGAGGGAAATGGGCAAATGAAAGTATACGTGGCTCCATTATGTTACAGCATTGTAATTAACATTTCCTCACAATTTACACTTTTCAAACATTATGTTTCCTTCAGGATTTAATTTCCCTCAGTCAGTAGTGCCTTTGTATAATTTGTACTTATTTTTCAGAAAAGACTGTGAAGCCAGCTTAGAAAAATAAAAAGAATTTCTTAATATCAGTGGATCTTTGGAGAGACCATTAGTCTGGACTTTAGGAGATCTGGATTTTAGACCAGACTCTGCTATTAATGAGGTACATGAGCTTGAGTTTAGTCTTGAATATGTTTCTTTATCTCTAAAATAAAAACATATTCTTAAGTCTAGAACTCTCCTTCTAAAATAGAAATAAATAATGAACCAGTCCTAGAACTGCATATCTCATATCCAGTAAGTTCCACAGAGTTTGATCTACAAGGTGTTAATAAGCTCTTAACACTTTCAGAGCCAATTCTGGGTATGGTGCCCAAACTGTCATTGTGTATAAAGCTATATATAAATAATCTATTTTGGAGAAAGCTCTTTTGATTTCCTAACAAGAAGGAAGTCCATTTTAAGAACGTACCTTGTTTTTAGTAATTAATATGATAGGCTGAAAATAGGAATGACAGTATTCTAGTGTCTTTTTTAATTTTTCAAATAACACTTTCCTACAAATTATCATATATTCCTGTATTCCTAAAAAGGCTTTTTTTAATGTTGAATAACAAAAGTAAGCAAATGATCAGACTGAAAATATTCGTCTAAAAGTAATGTGATTAATTATCTTCATAGGTTGATGAGATGAAATTGTAAATGTATGTAATCAAATACTGCTTTTGCCTCACCACAATTTGGTGTGACAATGGCCAGGCAAGTAAGTGGGCCTTGAAAAATCTGCCTAATGTGCCTGGCAAAACAGATGGAGGCTTCTTTTCTTCAATTTCATAGCTGTGTGTATAATGTTTGATAATTTAACATTTGTTGTTTAATAAATTGTGGTACCAGAGCCAAAAATGAATGGTGCTTTCTTTTTTATTCCTGTTTCTAGTATGAGTAACTGCATAATTTCAGGGTCTGTTAATATTAAATGAATATTCATTTGCCTCAATAGTGGCATAATTTATGTAAACCAAGGGTGTGTTTATGTCTCAATAGTTTTATTGCTTTGTGTTTCTTGGTTATAAGGTTGTCCAAGCAAACACAGTGGATGAACGTACTAACTTTCTTGTGGAAGAATACTCTACATCTGGTCGTCTGGATAACATCACACAGGTCATGAGTTTACACACTCAGTACCTGGAGTCTTTCTTGCGGAGCCAGTTTTACATGTTGCGCATGGATGGTCCCCTTCCTCTACCAGACAGGCACTACATTGCAATAATGGTAGGTGCTTATTTTTCTATTTTTTTCCCCATTTTCACATAACATTTTCTGCACTTATTCTTTCTCCATTCTGAAATTATGCATATATGTGTATGTAGAACTAAGTATAATTTTATGGACATAAGAATTGAAGAAGTCTGTGGCCTTTTAGATACTAAGTTTCTTGAATACATTTGAAATGCTTGAAGTTTCTTAATGAGAAACATTTAACTTTCAGTAAAATCATTTTCCATGTTTAATCTCATATGATTAAAGATGCTTATAGGGTCAAAATAATAGCCCACAAGTTTTGTTTTTGCTCCTGATGTCTTATTTTTATTTTTAATAAAAGCACAAGTTGTTTATGACATTTTTCTTAGTCATTTTAAACTTAAAGAATATCATTAATTTGGCCAAATACAGGAAAAGTATCAGCATTAATGGAGAATCTGGGTAAGAAAATAATTCTTAAATAAATTATAGCAAATAGATAAAATATGGTTCTTAAATAAAAAATTTAAATAAAGTATAGTTCTTGTTACAAACTGGTTGACTAGTTAATGTTATTATTGGCAGGTGGTGGGGGTCAGGTAAGAGAATTATAAATCGGGACAATAGACAGAAGGAATGAGAAGGGTAGAAAGAAACAGTGCTACAGTTGGCTGTTGAATGAAGAAAAAGATGAATGAGAGCATAATACAAGTGCTGTACATTTGGAGAGGTTAGGGGAACAGCTGGTGTAACAGAGTTAGCAGAGATAGCCAGAAGTTAGCAGATTAGTTTTTACCAAGTTTGATTTGATTATCTCTATTATATTCTCACTAGAGTTTTAAACAACAAAAAAAGCAGAATTGTGTGTTTTATTAAATGATGAACTTTACTAAGACTATAAGCTTACGGTTTTGACAACAGTAAGGCTGAAAGTAGACTTAGAATGCTTACAAACTAAGAGAGAAACAAGATGTAGGGAATAGAAAGAATAAAACAGTACTATTTTACTGAGACGCCGCCCTGAAGAAGAGAGGTCAGAAGTCAGCTTTGCACAGATTTACTAAGTTGTCAGCATTGAGGCTAACTCTGCCTGTGAAAGAAAAGGGTCAGTGAGCTTCAGTTTCATTTGAGTAGGATGATCTATACAGATATGAGTGAAATCACAGTTATCTTAAAGGGGATATAAGAAGTACTCAAGTTAGCATGAATTCTGAATTGTTAGAATACAAGTTAATGGGATTTTATTAAATAGAACACAGTAGATATATTTACCATAATGAAATGGACGTGCATTTCCCTAACATAGCTAGAAAGTGGGCTCTGGGTTAATCTACACCAACTTCTGGGTTAGAAAATAATTGGCTTCATGTGACAATAATTTGCTTATACAAATATCAGGATCATGTATTGATTCAGGAATCTATTACAGCACTGTGATTGACATTTTAGAAGAAGGAGGACTCTGTAAGAAAAGAGCTATTGGCTATAAAAATTATTATCTAAATTATTTGTTTAGAAATAGTGGAATGAGACTCTACCATGATTGTTCTATCAACAAATTTTTCTTTGTGCTTTAGGCTGCAGCTAGACATCAGTGTTCTTACTTAATAAACATGCATGTGGATGAATTTTTAAAGACTGGAGGTATTGCTGAATGGTTGAATGGTTTGGAATATGTACCCCAAAGACTGAAAAATCTTAATGAAATAAATAAATTGCTAGCACACCGACCCTGGCTGATCACGAAAGAGCACATTCAGGTACTGAGTATTTCTTTGAAATAAAAAGAAAGTTTTTCTACTGATTCTAAGAGTTAATTTTTAAGTATTTTGCTTAACACTTAATTTTAAATGCTTGCATATTAGGAACTTGAAAAATAAAAAATAGTCTACTAATACATGTAGAAAAGGTAAGTTAGAAAGTCAGTCGGTTTAATTTAAGTGCAAATAAATACTTATTTTTAAGTAGTCATTAATTAGGTTGTGCAAGTACTTTGGTGAGTGTCTATGAGAAAAATTGGTTTCTATTTCAAGCAGTAGGTAGAATACACTAGCATGATAAGATGACTTGGTTCTCGTCTCTGTTACTTACAAGTTTGTGCCCTTAGTGAGTTAACTTCAGTGGGCCTCAGTTTCCCCCTCTGTAAAATGAGGAGGCTAAATTAGATAAGTTCTAGACTCTTTTCTAGTTCTAACATTTCATAATTTTAAGATTCTCAGAAAATGACTTTGCAACTAAAAAGTTATTTACCAGCTGGTGCGTGAATTCTTAAATGCCTGTAGAAACTAGAATTCAGATCAGAAATAGAGTTGTTGGATTGACTAAGAACACATATTTCAGAAGGAGCTTCCATCAAAGGCCTACAGAGTGAGGTTATTATACAATATGATTAGAACTGTGCTTGGCACACAGTAGCTATTCAATAAATAGGAGCTATCATCTAAATTACTATCAGTAGAAGCCTTAGTTATTTAAAATCTCTGTTTCTGATGCATAGAAATGTCCTTGTCTTTTAGATCCTCTTATTAGAACACATTCTTGTTTGATATTTGCACAAATATCAAACAAAATATGTTATTTAGTCAAACATAGCTTTTGTCAGTCTCTATACTCTCAGATTTTGATGATCTCAGAATTTGTGAAGCACAATGCTGTCCTAAGGTTTATGTTCTGATTTGGTAATATGTTAAAGGAATTTAATATTATTTTTATGTCATATCTTAATTACTGTGTGCCATGTGCTTTTGTGGGCCTAAGAAGATGTGCTTGGAATCAAGTGCAGGAGAGGCAAAGGGTAATGACAATAATCAGAGCACAATAGTGCATGAACATACAAATAAAGATAATGAGATCAGAAGGTTTCTTGAAAGAGGTAACATGTGAGCTAGGATTTGAAGAATAAGTGGGAGTTTACAAGAAGAGGTCATTTCAGAGAAAGAAATAGAGTATGCAGTGTTATGGTACATTGAGAAAATAGCTAACAGCTTCAGGTTATTGAAGTATAAGGATGTTTATGTTAAGGTGGGGATGCGGAGTGGGAAAAATTGGGATCGTATTGTATTACCCAATGAATACTGTATTAAAGAATTTGCACTTAAAAAAAAAAAGGATTTGTAATTTATCCTGAGAAACTTACGGTCTCCAGAGTTATGTAATGGTACATCAGGGGGTGCACAAGACAGTCCTTCGAAATATTAGAAAATATGTGTGTGTGTATATTCTTATCCTTTTAAATTTCTGTATTTGTATATTTTATAATGTTACTATTATAGTATGTGTATATAACTATTCTATATAAAATATATTTTATAAACACATATTAATTTATAAATATACATGATATCAGGGGTTAGGTCTCCCAGTTGTTACTATTGCAAGTGTATATATATTAAAAGAGCTTGGAAATCACTAAGATAGAAAATCAACAATTACTAAAGATTTTTGCTATAATATAAAAATATTTGGTGATGCAGAAGATAAATAATGGATTAGAAGCAGGGAGGCCAGTCACAGTAGTACAACTAAAAGATAGTTTTTCTTAAAAAAAAAAAAAAAAAAAAAAAAAAGCTGGGGGGGGATAAAGAGAAGGGATAAAACTATTCTTTCTTTTTTTTTTTCTATTGACAAATGATTGTAGGTATCCGTGGGGTACAGCATTGAATATCAATACCTGTGTGCAGTATGTGATGCTCAAATCAGAAATATTGTGTGATGATAGATAGTACTATATCTATCATCACACAATATAATCATTTTTTGTGGCCCTTTACCAGAATCCTCTGGTGGCCTCAGTTCCATTCTCTCCTTTTGAAAGTTCAATGAATTATTGTGATTATTATATCTTTCATTCTTTTTTATTTATTTGGGGTTTTTTAAGCTCCCACTTAGGAGTGAAGACATCAGTATTTCTCTTTCTGTGCCTGGTTTATTTCTCTTAACCTAATTTTCTCTAAGTTCATCCGTATTGCTGCAAATGGCAAAATTTCATTCTTTCTTATGGCAGAATAGTATTCCATTGTGTTTATATACCACATTTCCCTTATTCAGTTGTCCATCACTGGACATTTAGGTTGGTTCCAACTCTTAGCTATTGTAAGTAGAGCTGTGATAAACACAGGAGTGCAGGTAATCCTTTGACGTGATGATTTCCATTCTTTTGGATATACACCCAGCAGCGGGATTGCTGGATCATATGGCAGTTCTATCTGTAGTTGTTTGAGAAACCTCCATACTGTTTTCCATAGTGCCTGCTCTAATTTACAGTCCCACCAACAGTGTAGAAGGGTTCCCCTTTCTCTGCATCCTCATCAGCACTTGTTATTGTCTGTCTTTTTTATTTTGGCCAGTCTAACTGGTGTGAGATGATACTTCAGTGTGGTTTTGATTTGTATTTCTCTGATGCTTAGTGATGTTGAGTATTTTATCATGTATCTATTGGCCACATGTATATCTTCCTTTGAGAAATGTCTGTTTAGCTCCTTTGCCCTTTTTAAAATCAGGTTACTTCTTTTTTTTTCCTGTTAAGTTGTTTGAGTTCTTTGTATATCCTGGATATTAATCCCTTGTCAGATGCGTAGTTTGCAAATATTTTGTCCCATACTGTACACTGTTTTTTTGCTCTGTTGGTTGTTTCTATTGCTGTGCAGAAGCTTTTTAGTTTGATAGAATCCCACTTGTTTATTTTTTCTTTTGTTGCCTGTGCTTTGGGGGTCTTATTCATAAAATCTTTGCCCACTCCCTACTTCCTGAAGTATTTCCCCAGTGTTTTCTTTTAGGAGTTTTATAGTTTCAGGTTTTGTATTTAAGTCTTTAATCCATTTTGAGTTGATTTGGGCATATGGTGAGAGGTATGGGTCTAATTTCATTCTTCTACATATAGATATCCAATTTTCCCAGTACCGTTTATTGAAAAGGTAGTCTCTTCCCCAGTATGTGTTCTTGGTGCCTTTGTCAAAGATCAGATGGCTATAGATGTATGGGCTGATTTATGGGTTTTCTACTCTGTTCCATTGGTCTGTGTGTCTGTTTTTATGCCAGTACCATTTTTGGTACTATGGCTTTGTAGTATAGTTTGAAGTCAGGTAGTGTTATGCCTCCGGCTTTATTTTTTTGGATCAGTATTGCTTTGGCTATTCGGGGTCTTTTGTTGTTCCATATAAATGTTAGACATTCACAGACATTTTCTGTGAACAATGTCATTGGTATTTTGATGGGGATTGCATTGAATCTGTAGATTGCTTTGGGTAGTATGCACATTCTCATAATGTTTATTCTTCCAATCCAAGAGCATGGAATGTTTTTCCATCTTTTTGTGTTCTTTTAAATTTCTTTCAGCAGTGATTTGTAGTTCTCATTGTAGAGCTCCCTCACCTCCTTAGTTAAATTGGTTCCTATGTATTTTATTTTTTTTGATAAATATTGTAAATTCGCTTGCTTTCTTGATTTCTTTTTCTGCTAGTTCGTTATTGGAGTATAAAAACACTAGTGATTATTACATGTTGATTTTGTATCTTGCAACTTTACTACAATTGTTTAGCAGCTCTTAAGAGTTTATTGATAGAGTCTTTAGATTTTTCTCTATAGAGGATCATGTCATTTGCAAACATGGACCCTTTGGCTTCATCTTTTCCATTCTGGATGCCCATTATTTCTTTCTCTTGCCTGATTGCTCTGGCTAATACTTCCAATACATGTTAAATAGGAGTGGTGAGAGTGAGCATCCTTGTCTCATTCGTGTTCTTTTCTCATTCCATTCAGTATATTGGCAGTAGATTTGTCATATGTGACTTTATTGTTCTTAAGATACTTTCTTTCTATACCTAATTTTCTGAGTGTTTATCATGACACCATGCTGAATTTTGTCAAATGCTTTTTCTGCATCTATTGAGATTATCATATGATTTTTAAATCAAAAATGACTTTATTGTTCTTAAGATACTTTCTTTCTATACCTAATTTTCTGAGTGTTTATCATGACACCATGTTGAATTTTGTCAAATGCTTTTTCTGCATCTATTGAGATTATCATATGATTTTTAAATCAAAATCCTTGATTTTGTTGATGTGATGTATCACATTTATTGACTTATGTTGAACCATCCTTGCATCCCTGGGATGAATCCCACTTGATCATGGTGTATACTTTTTTTGATGTGTTGCTGTATTCTATTTGCTAACATTTTGTTGGGTATTTTTGCATCTGTGTTCATGAAAGTATTGGCCTGTAGTTTTCCATTTTTGTTGTATCTTTGTCTCATTTTGGAATCAGGATGATGCTGAACGCATAGAATGAGTGTGGGAAATGGCCTCTGTTTCAATTTTTTGGAATAGTTTGAAGGGAATTGGTATAAATTCCTCTTCAAAGGTTTGATAGAATCCAGCAGTAAATCCATCTGGTCCTGGGCTTTTACTTGTTGGGAGACTGCTGATTACTGCTTCGGTATCCTTGCTTATGATTAGTCTGTTTAAGATTTCTATTTCAACTTGGTTCAGTCTTGGTAGTTTGTATATGTCTAGAAATTTATGCATTTCCTCCAGGTTTTCAATTTGTTGGCATATATATAGTTGTTCATAATAGTCTCTAATGATTCTTTGAGTTTCTGTGGTATCAGTTGTAATGTCTCCTTTTTCATTTCTGATTTTTGTTATTTGCATCTTCTCTCTGTTTTTTAGTTAGCCTAGCTTATGGTTTGTCTATTTTGTTTATGTTCTGAGAAAAATAACTTTTTGTTTTTTTGAACATTTGTATCATTTTGGGGGT